CATAAAGCCGCAAATTTGGAACGGTGGTGGTGCGTTCAGCGGGGAGTTCAAGGTTTACATACTCGTACACTTACGAGATATAAATCGCAAAGATCTGAGGGGCACTGCCACTGCGCCCGTCACCTTAGACATAAATTGATAAGTCCCACGGGCCTGTAATTCCACCAGCACCCTTACCCTTCAAAACCGGAACACAGTAATGCTAACATTCCTGCTTGGCTGTAGAAATAGGTAAGGTGGCAGTACTACCCTGGATGAACTCTTTCACAAGGAACTCTACTGCTAAATATTTAAATTAAAATTAAAAACCCCCAGATACAAAACAGTGTACTTACTCCAAAAAGTCAACAAAGTCATTCGTAAGCTAACAACTCGTCGAGACCAATTTAGATAATGAGCCTAAACACGATAGTTCTGCTGTAAGTTGTTGAGAAACTTGATGTTCTGTAGACTGTCCTAGTTACACCATCAGATCAAGCACATTATTGCGACGTCGTTGAATGTCCACACTGTATCAAATTTTAAATCAATCGGATAAGTGGAAATAAAATACATATTCATTGTATGAGTGATATCCGTACACTGACTGAGAAAAGAGCTGATGATCTGCGAAAAACTGAACAGAATATTTACCAAACGTAGCTAAGAATCATCTTGTTTTGAGATCAGTCCATCAATTTGGGAGTTACGATGCCTTAGAAGAAGGTATATACCATTATAGGTATTTGAATGAAATGATTACTTGGCAAACAACACATTAGAAAACACAAAACAAATTAATGATTGAATAAACATGCCGAATGTATCTATGGTTCACCTATAGAGGTCTATGGAAAGTTGTCATAGCACGTAGCGGTTGTAAGAACACACCAAAATAGTACATTTTGTATTATGGACGGTAAATAAGGAATTACGATACTCTACTAGAAGCTCTAAATGAAGACTGAGTGGCTTTCGGAATCAAGGTTCGTTATTCCCGTACCGCCCGTTTAACATACAATGTTTTTCATCACATTTGCGAGTAAATAATTAAAGATAATTGAGTATTTAATAATTTTAGATTAATAAAAGAAAAAATAATTGCTTGCGGCTTACTCGACTATTATTGCCCCAAATAAAACCCTTCGGCCTTTTTTCTTCTTATTACAGCCATAGCCGTGTAATGAGAAGAAATAAGACCCTGCGGGTTTTATTTGGGGCATTACAGTCAAGATAGCACGCATACAATCATACTATTTACGAGCAAGTGTAATGAAAATAATATAAATAGTCACACTTCAGCAAAAACAGTTAAAATACAATAAATAATGCAAAAAAAATATATATCTCAGTCAGCTGTGAGATCAGTAAAGAGCCTGAAACGTTGGTTTGTTTGCAAAAAATAAAAACAAATATACGTGATTTAAAAAATCCAAAAAAAAAGTTCATTTCAGATGTAACAATCGCAAAAACCAAAGGCTTCGAAATATAAAGTATTCCAGAACAATACAAAATATAAAGCACAAAGAACCTGCACCCTGGGATTGCTTGTCAAATACCCATTGTGAATATTTTCGCCCAAATATCGACAACGATTGAAGCTCTACCCCTCCAATAGATGAAAGCAAATCACTCCATAGGTATTTTGAATTGGAAAGTTCATAACATAAAGTTCAAATTTCTAAACTTTGAACTTTACAAAATTATTAATGTATGAATAAGTAAAATGACATTTATATAAAGTTATTTAATGACATAAGATGTTTGTATAGGAAACGAAAAATCTATTATCAAATTTTGTTAGGCTTTATTAACATTAATTTTATCGAGTTCTTAGGTTTTCAACCGTGACCATGTGACCTGTAAAGGGCCCGAAACGTCGGTTTGTTTGAAAAAAACAAATATTCACGATTTAAATCCGGAAAAATGGTTTCATTTCCAACATTTATTTTGTTATGTTTTTTTATAGTTTTTAAAATATATTACAATCTTGCGTAAATATTCGTTTAGCCGCTCATGCGATGCGCTCCTCCTACCGCAAAATGGCAGCTATTTGGTTTCGCAAATTAGAAAAGCATTCAGTTTAAATATAAGTTTTTATAAATAAAAACTATTATTCTGCATTGCTAAATAAATACCCTTCGTACTACCAACAAAAACATCTCAAATAAAATGCAGTAATACACCGCAAATCCTGCACTTAAAAAGCACTCGTGAAATTTTTGGTGTACTTGGATAAATATGATAATATTCCGTTTGAGTGGTTCTAACGTTTACGATGAAATTACTCCTTAAAGTATAGTTTATAAACATTTATATTCAGGGTAAACTTAAAAAACGCTACTTACGGTGTGTTTCCAATAATAAACACCGAAATCACCAGCCTAAAGAATAACACACACGATTGTCGTGACATATTTTTGAAGTTGTTTATTTTTTATAAATGACAAACCCAGGCATTAAAAACTTTATGGTTTGCTAGAGTAGTTACCGAAATAGCAATTAATATTAGGTATTTTACCTGTTATAACTTCGATATACGATAAATCGGTATAAAATCATCACCGGCACCTCTAGGTGTGGTATGTGTCTACGGCTGCATGTATCGTGTGAGCGGTTAGCAAGCAGTATTTGCTTTCGGCATATTATGATTACACTCTTGTTGTTGTTGTCAAATTTCATAAAATATGTTTTCATATAATGGTCAACTTTTTTTTTAATGCTGACTAGGTTTTTTTGAATGCCGACTAAGTTTCTTATGTCTTCAATATATTGGAAGAAAAAAATCGTGACAGCAGAGTTGGTCAAATTCAATATAAAAAAACGTACAAAATACAATTGACAATTAAGGGTTGTAACAATACCTATGTTATAAAAGCCATGATAAATAACTTAATTTTCTTACTTAATTGGAAATAAATCTATTTTTTCCGGATCGAAATCGCGTCTACCTATTTGTTTTTTCAAACAAATCAAAGTTTCTCAATCAAAGTTTGTCTCTTGTTACGGCTGATTGACCATGGGACCTTTCATGAGCTCGCTTTGATTGTTTGAATATGCAAATACTCGCAATTTGGATCCAGAAAATAGTTTTATTAGCAATGTGTGGCAACAGCGACATTTAACATTTAGCAAATCAGCGACGGTTTTAGGTAGCAGTGGCCAGAAGTCAATACGAAAAAAAGGGCCTCAGAAGTAGAGTGATTTTAGTATAGTTAGAATTCATAGATTGGGTGATATACATAGAAAGCTATAATAGATAAAAATGTTCAGTGTGTGTACAATCTTCTTGAGTAATATTTTAATAATATTTTGTTATAATATTTGTGATTAGATTATAATACGGAAATGCCATTAACGTATTTCTTTTGTAATAACAAAAAATATAACAAATATGTGCGTGGTGGTAGCCCAATGGAACCATAGTTGGCTCTCAATTGAGGAGGCAACGTATCGAATTCCTGTGGTGGAACGTACGTGTGTGAATGTTTAATCGCAATACCTCTCGCTAACGATGAAGGAAAACATCGATAGTGATAAATTCTGCACGTCCAATAATACTCTCAACTCTTGCAAATCCTGTGAAGATTCCAACCAGCTTTAGGGCAACATAGCGAATGTTGTACGTAAAGTTTTCTTTAGGAGAGACCCGTGCCCAGCCGTGTGTGGTATTGTGGTTGATGGTGATAAATCTGTTCAATATCAACAATCATAATTTTATCTTAAAAATGTCATCACCATAAATAATTCGAGTTAATTACGTGCTCATTAACTACGTTTTCCGCCAATAAATGCTCGGTATTAATTACCTGATGCGTAAGTTAAATATCATAAAGATAATTTTTACCACAATTTCATTATTCAAACACGCGTCTGCGCCATTGACACTGAGATAACTGCGTTTGCGCAGCATACAATTCAAAGACTAAAGAGCAATTGTGCAGATGTGACATGTATGTATGTATGTATAAGATGATGTGATAAAAACTATTTACGACCTTTTTTATAAATTATGTTTATGTTTACTGTTGTTATTTTGGGCAACGTTACAAACTATGAAGAGATAGAAAACATGTACCATTCTTAACCGCTCACGCGATGCGCTCCTCCTACCGCAAAATGGCGGCTATTTGGTTTCGCAAGTTAGAAAAACATTCAGTTTAAATACAATGTTGTTATAAATAAAAATTATTATTCTGCATTGCTAATTAAATACCCTCCGTACTACCAACAAAAACATCTCAAATAAAATGCAGTAATACACCGCAAATCCTGCACTTAAAAAGCACTAATGAAATTTTTGGTGTACTTGGATAAATATGATAATATTCCGTTTGAATGGTTCTAATGTTTACCATGACATTACTCCTTAAAGTATAGTTTATAAACATTTATATTCAGGATAAACTTAAAAAACACTACTTACGGTATATTTTCAATAAATAAACATCGAAATCACCATCCGAAACAATAACACACACGATTGTCGTGACGTAATTTGGAAGTTGTTTATTTTTTTAAATGACAGACCCAGGCATTAAAAACATTATAGTTTGCTAGAGTAGTTACCGAAATAGCAATTAATATTAGTTCTTTTACCTGTTATAACTTCGATATCCGATAAATCGGTATAAAATCATCACCGGCACCTCTAGGTGTGGTATGCGTCTACGGCTGCATGTATCGCGTGAGCGGTTAGTAAAGGAAAATAAAATTTGATTGTTAAAACAAAACTTGCATCACCTTTCAAGTGTACATGACACACAGTACTGTAGTATGTAGGCAATTTAAACCATGATTCAATAAATGGACGTTTCTACGGATAGTCATCACAGTCTTGGTCTAATTAAGAAATCGTTCATCAACGTAAGTTTTATATGGCTTACACTTCACATACTTACGTTGATCTATATTGAAGTCACTAATTATTCAATTATAAGTATTCATTATTTATAGTGTAAAATGACTGTGTTTGATAAAATTGACGAAAAGGACTACCAGAAAGTTGCGACTCATGATCCCGGCTACGGTATGTGGTTTATTATAGTAATAAAGGTATTCTTTTATATATACTTTTACATTTTTAAACCCCATTGGCCTTAAGGTCATTGTGGAAAATATACTCACTTTCATCGTTAAAAGTAAAATAACTTAATATTACACTTCTTGAATTTTTAAAAATGATTGAGATATTTAAAGTGTTTTTAAGAACGCATATACATATAAACTCTTATCCGCTCACGCGATACATGCAGCCGTAGACGCATACCACACCTAGAGGTGCCGGTGATGATTTTATACCGATTTATCGGATATCGAAGTTATAACAGGTAAAAGAACTAATATTAATTGCTATTTCGGTAAGTACTCTAGAAAACAATAAAGTTTTTAATGCCTGGGTCTGTCATTTAAAAAAAATAAACGACTTCAAAAATACGTCACGACAATCGTGTGTGTTATTGTTTGGGCTGGTGATTTCGGTGTTTATTTATTGAAAACATACCGTAAGTAGCGTTTTTAAGTTTACCCTGAATATAAATGTTTATAAAGTATACTTTAAGGAGTAATTTCATGGTAAAAGTTAGAACCACTCAAACGGAATATTATCATATTTATCCAAGTACACCAAAAATTTCATTAGTGCTTTTTAAGTGCAGGATTTGCGGTGTATTACTGCCTTATATTTGAGATGTTTTTGTTGGTAGTACGGAGGGCATTTATTTAGCAATGCAGAATAATAATTTTTATTTATAAAAACTTGTATTTAAACTGAATGTTTTTCTAATTTGTGAAACCAAATAGCTGCCATTTTGCGGTAGGAGGAGGGCTACGCGTGAGCGGTTATGCAAAAAAATAAATGTATACAGTTTTATGTTCTTTTATAGCAAACGATGTCCCACCAAAATACGGATATGGAGTTCGTCATATGCAAGCTTTGATAATTTTCGGTTGCCTTACTTGCAACTTGATCGCTCGAGCGCATCTCAGTGTCACCATTGTCGCTATGACCGATATTCCCAAACACGATATTGTCACTGTTCTTAATAACAGTGGCATAGACTTAAATAACATGGTTTATGCAAAAACTAATGACAGTATCTTTCAAAATGTTGGACTTGATATTGCTAATAGAACCAAAGATGGCCGTGAAGAAATTAATTTGGAAATCAAAGTTAATGGAACGGAAGTTCTTAGTAGTAAATTGAACGCATATAGAAATAAAAGTATATCAGATAATACGTACGAATTAGAAAAAGAATTTGCAAATAATCCTCAGTCAAGGGACAGTGTTTGGAATGTTTATAGAGTAAGAATTTTGTTTAATATTTTATTTATGTAAAGCAATAATTCTAGAGCAATAAATGTATGTATATATATATATATATATATATATATATATATATAGAGGTAGTATACGAAATATTTCACAATATCGTATATTGTTTTTGGAGTAGGTCTCTTTAACTATTCTCTTGTATTACAGCATAATGTACTGTAATTTTAATTGTAATTTAAATTTGCAATTTATGTAATTTAATGTAGTAGTCATTACTACTAAAAAAAACATATTATGATGTTAAGAATAATATTGTACTCAATTTACAAAACATTCATAAGTTTATTAGTGTAATTCATCGTCGACATCACTAAACTTTACCGAATCATTCTTAAAGCTGATTTTTGTCAGGCAACTTAATAGTAAATCAATGAAAACATTGTTATTTTCAGACTTATTACTGGTCAAAGGCAACCCAAGAGATGGTTCTTGGATCATTCTTCCTCGGCTATTTAATAATGATGACACCAATGGGCCTGGTGGTCCAGCGTTGGGGCGGCAAGATGCCTTTGCAAATCGGTCTTACTGTTAGCGGGATTGTCACTTTCATCTCTCCTTGGTTAGCTGCTTGGGTGAGTGGCTTATTGTGCTTCTTTAATACTTATAAAAAGAAGTTAGCCACTGACACTAGTCCATTCCCTTAATAAGACAACCGTGCAATTTAGAACGTAAATTACTTTCAAAATGTTACAAAACATTGATGTTTGATACGAGGAGATAATACGCAATGACTAGGCGTAGTTGTTTTTGTTTCTGCATGGTAAGAGGGAATGGACCAGGAACCAGATGGTATGACCTTATTAAGACTTTCGCCTAGAAATAATGGGAATTGGACATACATCGTTGAAGCAGTACGTTTAGATGAAAGTTTATTTTCCAGGGTGATTGGAAGGCAGTGTGTGCAGCACGTATAGCGCTGGGCCTGGCGCAGACAGGCACCTATCCGGGCATTCACAGTCTGCTTGCTAAGTGGGTTCCCTTAAGTGAACGAGGAAGACTTAGCACTTATGTTTACAGCGGTAATATTTTATAGTCCAATTTACCGATAAATAACCTAAACGGTTTTTTTATGATATTCGTGTTGTGTGAACAGTCAGTTTCATTTCATATCCCATTGATTTTCATTTCCACTCTAGTACCGTTGGAGTAGTATATAAGTGAAACAAAAATAGTTTGCTTATCAAATTTCGCACTGTATTAGTGTTGACAAAGTACACTTTAAATATTATTAAACATTATCATATAATTTAAAAGAAAGTTACTGTACGAGCTGCTTGTCTCGTACAGTAATATGTCAG